TTGCTAGTCTGGCCGTACGCGCATCTCTGTGTTAGTGGCCGAATGGGAAGAACTTCTGTTTTAAACCTGGAAGTGGTGCCAGGGCTCTTATAAAATTATTTGCATTGGTTTGGTTTAATACCGCTTTGAAGTGGGCTACACTTCTACCTAATAGCTGGCCCATGCAAAAAGAAAGACTGATTTTTTTAAGCTCCTCTGTTCATTGGCCTCTCTTGCCTGTCACTGATTGCAAAATCAGTATGCGTGATAGTGCATTACTTAGTGAGTTTGTCTTTTGGAGCAGGGTACTGGTTTTAAATTGATCTCCTTTTCATCAGGAGTGTGTCCCGGGAATGGAAATGCACAATTGCACTTTTCTCGGGGTGAGGGGCGGGGAGTAATGCTCCCTCTAAGCTGTGGAGTCTTGCGAGCAAAAATTCTACTCTGTGAGCTACTGGCATGAAAGTTGTGAGCGAGCGATTTGGCTGCTGCATCAATTAGTTTGCTCTGGAGCCCTCCTTCCTGAGCGAAGACAAAAGTGTGTGAGCCAGAGGCTAAAAAAACTGTGAGCTAGCTCACACTAACTCAGCTTAGAGGGAACACTGGTGGGGAGTTCAAAGATAGATTTTAGGGTGGATGGCAGACAGGCTAATATTAGCTATGTGTCCTGAGAGAAAGCCCAGCGATTCCGCCTGATCTGGGAGCGGGCCAGGCACAGGTGATCAAAGCCAATTCGCTGCCACAGCTGCGCCAGTGCCAGAGAAAGATGCGCCAGCCAAGGCAACTCTGCAGTGTAGACGTGCTCTTACTGCTATATTGAAATCTGTATTTCGGGAACGTTTGCAAGGACAGAGTCTTTTTTTTTATTATTTGGGCTTGAGTGATCAAGTGTTAACACCATTCTTGCTTACAAATAAATAAAGCACCTGTCCCGTTAGAGACCGCTATTGGTAATACTATTATCTCTGGCGAGTGGCATCTCCTAAAGTAGTTTTACTAAGTTCAGGTTAAGCAGTTCTCTTTATTTCCTTCTGTGGACAACCAGATACATTTTATCTTGGCCAGATAGGCTAAGAAAAAATGCCATAGAAAATGGAAGCAAAGGTGCTTGTCGGGCAGCCATTGGCCCTCACCTTAAACAACAACAACACAACAACTTTGGATGCCGAGCATTTCAGGATCCTGAAATTATTGGCACTGACTTACATGCAAAGACAGGAGAAGGTACTTTTTTCTTACTTAAATGGTCCTTCAAAAAAATCCATCGCTAAAGGTACACAATAGACCCGTAATACAAAATTAGAGTCCCGTGGCACCTTTAAGACCAACAAAGGTTTATTCAAGGTATGAGCTTTCATGTGCAAGGCACACTTTTTTCAAATACATTGTAAAGGTGTGTAAGGTTCAAACGTATAGACCTATATTGAACCTTATACACCATTCCAGTGTATTTGTACTACTGCTTCAGTCCTACACGGCTGCCCACCTGGATCTATCTTAATAGATCTGTCAGCTAGTCCTTAAAGAAGAGACCAAAATGGGTTAGCTGTTTCATTTGCAGTCAGTTCACATAACGGACTAACCGCTTCCAGAAATAAGGACTGGAGATGACATTCCGACTTGACCTCCTTGTACTTCTCTTGTTTGTCTCATTGTCTTGTTTGCGTTCTGTCTTTTGTCTCAACATAGAGCAGAAACTGGGTGGGAGGTGGAGGTCCTGCTTAATGAGCAGAGCTTTGGGAGTTGCTGGGGTCTGAAGACTGTCCTCATCATCTTTTTGCACAGTCACCTGTCCATTCTAGTAGTTTACACTTTGCAAGCCTGTCAGGGCTCTTTTTGTAGCAGGAATTCCTCTGCATATTAGGCGACACACCCCTAATGTAGCCAATCCTCCAAGAGCTTACAGAGGTCTTCTTACAGGGTCTACTGTAAGCTCTTGGAAGATTGGCTACATTAGGGGTGTGTCACCTAATATGCAAAGGCGTTCCTGCTACGAAAAGAGTCCTGCCTGTGCTACATATGCAAAGGGCTTTACTTGGTCTTCCAGTGTCCTGGAAAGAGTAGGGAGTTGAGTTCATGAAACCCAGGCCATTACTTCTGGGTGACTCCGTGGTGTGAGAAGACGTGAACCTGGAAAGGAGAAGGGCTTCATTGGAGCACAATGGACAGAACAGAGGGTTTGGATCAGTGCTCCCTCTAAGCTGTGGAATCTTGTGAGCAAAAATTCTGCTTTGTGAGCCACTGGCATTAAAGTTGTGAGGGAGCGATTTGGCTACTGCATCAATTAATCTGCTCTGGAGCCATCCTTCCTGAGCTAAGACAAAAATGTGCGAGCTGGAGGCTAAAAAACTGTGAGCTATCTCGCACTAACTCAGCTTAGAGGGAACACTGGTTTGGATGTATGAAGTTCCAATTCAAATTCTTTCTCAGAGTTGGACTTCACTGGGAAACTCTGAATACTTTACTATTCAAACCAAAATCACAATACACTGTGATGTTAAAAAATGTGATTAAAACAACTGCATTAATAATTATTTACTCCACAGAAGATTAAACAAGTAGATGTAAAGTGTTTACAGAAATTACAAAACGTGACCGAAAATATATACAATAATAGGAAAATATTTGCAGTAGTGGCAACAGGAATCCGAATGTAATCCCATTTTGACCATCTCCATCAGCTGAAGCTTGGTTCTTAATATGCTGAAGGAAAATCCTAAGAAGCAGGGCTTTTTTTGTAGAAAAAGTCCAGCAGGAACTCATTAGCATAATAGGCCACACCCAACAGCAGAAACTCATTAGCATATTAGGCCACACCCCCTGACAGCACCACTCATTAGCATATTAGGCTGCATTCCCATGTTACCAGAAGTGTGGTCATCCAGCCACACCCACCTTTTGCTTCTTATTCTGTTTACCTTGTTTGTTGTCAAAACCCAGGGCTTTTTTTGTAGCAGGAACTCCTTTGCATGTTAGGCCACACACCCCTAATGTAGCCAGTTCTAATGAGTTCCTGCTGTTGGGTGTGGCCTGTTATGCTAATGAGTTCCTGCTGGGCGTGGCCAACTTGGGAGCCAGCCGGAACTCCGTTCCTGTGCGTTCCTGCCCAAAAATAGCCCTGCTAAGAAGTAAGAAAGGAGCTCTACCTGTCGAACCATTTATAAAGACTTGATAACAGCCAGGAACACAAATTTAGCGAAAGCCAGCACTGACTGTGCTGGCAAAAAATGCTCTCTAGTAGTGTTCACAAAGGAAATGAAACCAGTTTAGAGAAAATGTAGTGCTTTGGATGCTTTCAGGTTTGTAAAGCAGGACACCCTTCAGTTCTCTTAAGGAGCCTGTCGTCCGAAAGATTTCGACTCTTAGCTTCATCATCGTGCCTTTCTGTTTCAGATGCTACTGCTCCGTTAGTGGAGGAGGACCGGATTGCAGCTCGGCAGCACGGGGAGATACCTGAAGGAATCACAGGTGAAGACGATGGGAATGATAGGTGTATCATGTTTGTAGTCCTCCCGTGTTCTAGTAGAAAGCTTGGAGACAACTTACATGGGGCTCCCAGTGGTCTCCCCACCAAATACTTCTCAGGCCTCACATGTTTAATTTCCAAACTATCATGACATCAGGCGCTTCTGGGCCTAATTTTGTTCCCTTGACTTCCCGTTTCCCCAGAACAGTACTTTGTTTTCCATTTGGATGAAATGCATCAATGTAAGAGTTGTTTTCCTCTGGATCAGAATACACTGGAGATTTATGGTGTTCTGTCTGTGTTTTGTATGCAAATAGAACATAGTGAAGACAGATACACTACATCAACAGGCAGCAGAACGGCTGAACTTGCATTGCATTATGGAGACCTATGGCAGAGGGTCATATGGACCATGTGTACTTCTGGGGCCTTCAAAGAGGCATTCCAGAGTCTGAGAAAAGGGTAAAGAATTGCCTAGGTTGATTCTGTGTACAATCAATTTAACTAATTGCAAAGGAACACGCTTGTGCTGCATTTTGATCTTTGGCTCACTGAAGACTTATACAAACTTTTAGTTTAAAGAGGGACAAAAGTAGGTAATACCTTCTTTACACCTTCAGGTTCACCTAAACCGAGAATGATTTGTAAATTAATTTAGTTGGACGTAACTCTACATTGGCCTAGTCTGTTAAGAAATACTTGTTTGTCAGAGAGGCCTGCCCCTGTTTCTGAGAAACCTGGAAACAAACTCATTGTGTACAGTGGTGGTCAGACATTGGTTTTTTTGTTCTTAAAATAAAATTCCCTAGCCCAATGCTGGCACCTTGCGAGATGCTCTCCAACTCCATCTACCCATTCCCTCCTCCGCCCCCACCCACCACTGCAGCCCACAGTACATCAAATCTAGAATTCCAGCAATTCCACTAACAATCGATGGTCCAAATAACATCAAATCCATATCTAATTAAGTAAAGGTAAAGGTTTCCCTTGCTTGAAAGCTAGTCGAATCCGACTCTAGGGAGCGGTGCTCATCTCCGTTTCCAAGCCGAAGAGCCAGCGCTGTACGAAGACGTTTCCGTGGTCATGGGGCCAGGATGACTAAAGAACGAGGCGCACGGAACGCTGTTACCTTCCCACCGAAGTGGTACCTATTTATCTACTTGCAGTTTCTTGCTTTCGAACTGCTAGGTTGGCAGGAGCTGGGGCTAGACGACGGGAGCCCACTCTAAAATTAACTTCCACATATCAACCTCCCTCCCGCCCAAACCTCCCCTCTTACTTTCCCCTCTCTACCACTAAGTAAGTAAAACTAATCTATGTAATTAATTTACATAATGGGTGGGGGAAAACTACCACATTTGCTAACTAGACCTAATTAACCCCTAAGTTAATTTAAAACTTAAAATCTCAAAAGCAATGAATAAAAGTAGCAAGCACCGCGAGATGTTTGTGGGTCATTGGGGGGGCAGACTTGTGGTCGATGGGAGTAGTACATGTCTGATGTCCTTGGGCTTTCTGCTCTAAAATCTTTCAACGGGCAACTGTGCCACATGTCCCAAATGCTGGATGTGTTTTAATGCTGACTACGATTCAAGGGTTGATCACGAATGATTTTGTTTCCATGGGGCTATCACCTTCCCGCCATCTAATCTCATCTTCATTCCAGACTGTGGCCGCCCTGAGCTCAGTAGGTGGCATTTAGAAGATGTATAGTGCTAGTGGCAAAATTAGAGGCATTTGTCTTGCACCATTTTAATGTTGAAACCATTTTCCCATCCTCCATTTTGGAAAACGTAGCTGAGGAAGCAGGAATAGGCTGTACTCCTAACCATGAGGACCGTGCTGCGGGGGATGCCCAAGGTAAGCTCCGGATTATTGCTTTGCAGGACTTAAATGAGGAGGCTATACTCCGCTGGGGGGGTGGGGAGGTTGCCATGTCAGCAACGTTTGATGCGCTGCTTTCTCCAGGGGTCATTTCGTAGAAAAAGAGGTGCAGGAGCTCATTAGCATAACTCATTAGCATAACTCATTTGCATGTGCCACACCCCCTGATATCACTGGAAGTGTGTCAGAAGTCAACACCCACCGCTCAAGCTCCACTGGACTGTTTTGGATTGCTAGCTGTTGGGGGGGGGGGACATGCAGATCTGTCCTTGCAGAGGAGGGAGAGCTTGTACCTGAATAAAACTTGGTCTTAAAGGTGCCAGTGGACTGTTTGGGACCGGGGGACTGGGGAGGGGGCTTTGCAACTTACCTGGCTGCTTCTTGCTCTGACTGAGGGCTGCTGGGAGCAGGGGGTGGGGCTTGTTGCATGTGCCCACCCCCTGGGCTCCTTACTGCCGGAGCTCTGCTCCTGTGCGCTCCTGCAGGAGATGACCCCTGGCTCTCTCCCTCTTGTGCAGCCTACAAACAATCAGCAGCCCCTTTTTATCTTTTAAATGTGTTAAGTTTCCCATCATTGCATTTTTTAGGTGAACTGCCATTTCTTTTGCCCATCAGTAGCCTCATTCCCCCAAGAGAGCTCTCTCAGCTCTTTTCATCTTCCACTACGGTAGACAGTGCATTTGTTCTTGCCTCTGGAGGAAAGATGGTGGTTTGCTGTCTGAAAATGTTGTCTCTTTGCATGCCGCTTGTATTTTAAGGAAAGGAAACATAGAACCAATAGTTTAATGCAGGGGGGTACCCAACCTTTTTGAGCCTGGGGGCATCTTTGGTGTAGTGGTTAGGAGCACAGACTCTAATCTGGGACAACCAGGTTTGATTCCCCACTCCTCCACATGCAGCTGCTGGCGTGACCTTGGGAAGCGAAAGGTGGAAGCGACCCTGCTTAGTGTTGCAACCAGGAGGTAAGAGAGGCACATCTGGCCCCCTTGTGCTGGATGCCGGAGTCTCCCATCCAAAGCAGAGGAGAAGTGAAGCCTGTGAGGCCCCAGAGTCTCCCCTGGTTGGCCGCAGCAGTCTGCCCCTGCCCCTCCTCCTCCTCCTCCTCCTCCTCCTTCTTCTTCTTCGCCACAAAATGGCCACCACAAAATGGCTGCTGCAGTAGGTAGGCCAGCCACAAAATGTCTGCTGTAGGTTGCCTTCAGTCACACGGTGAATATTCTTGTGCTGTGGTATCAGCTGCTGCCAAAGTAATGTCTTTTTTAAAAAAGAAATCTGCCCAGCCAATCAGATCTCCAGTAGCCGGTCAGCTGCCCTTCTGGGCAAAAGCCCCACTTGGCCCTGCCTGCTTTCTAGAAACACTTGGCAGGTGCCAGGGTGCCTGCACGCACCGCGTTGGGAACCTCTGGTTTAATGACTCTTGATGCCCGCCATCTATAGTTGCATCCTCAACCTCACTTTTGTGCTAGCATTCTGATACTTTTATCAAAAAGGAAATAGGGGAGCTAGCAAAAAGGCGCAAGAAAAAGAGGATTGAAGTGATCAGTGAATGGGCTGAAGCTCTGACAACCCAGAAACTGGGAAGTCTTCGAAGGAAGCCTGCCATTTTTAATGAAGAAGAAGAGATTGGATTTATACCCCGCCCTTCACTACCCAAAGGAGTCTCAGAGCGGTTTACAAACTCCTTTCCCTTCCCTTCCCCACAACAGACACCCTGTGAGGTAGGCAGGGTTGAGAGAGTTCTTTCAAGAACTGCTCTTTCAAGAACAGTTCTGACAGAACTATGGCTTGCCCAAGGTCATCCAGCAGCTGCACGTGGAGGAGTGGGGAATCAAACTTGGTTCTCCCAGATTAGAGTCCGCCAGATTAGAGTCTCCCAGATTAGAGACACCCTGTGAGGTAGGCAGGATAGAGAGAGCTCTTTCAAGAACTGCTCTTTCAAGAACAGTTCTGACAGAACTATGGCTCGCCCAAGGTCATCCAGCAGCTGCATGTGGAGGAGTGGGGAATCAAACCCAGTTCTCCTAGATTAGAGTCCGCGCATTTAGCCAACTGCACTACTACAATAAACATAGCATGACATTAATACAAATCAGATACCAATTAAACGCAAGTGCAAATAAGAATCAAATAAGGAGGAAGAGAGGTTGCAGATACCATGACTGGCTTTTCTTTACTCAAGGAAGTTTACAGAACATGTAGGCCTTTAGGCAAAATAATATAACCATGGTTTGGAATACATGGGAAAGAAAAATATTCAACACTTTAGGGAGAGGCAGATATTAAATACATAATTTGAAATAATGGGTTAAAATTAACTGCGTATTTAAGCGCTGAATTCATAGCAATAGCTTGAATTTTTAGCGCAGCCAAGATGTATTTGGCAACTGCCAGAGAGATGTGATTTTCATTTCCAAGCAGAAGATTAAGTGGTAGTCTTCTGAGCGGCTGGGAAAGGTTACAAGAAAGGGAGTTATCAGAGAAGCTCTTAGAGAAGCCATAGAATTGGCATGAGAAGGAAAAGTGTGTTGGGAGTTTCAGGCACCTCGAGACTGCATGAACCAAATCCTTTGACCCGTGTGGCTTGTTGGAAAATCAAGCAGATACTATGAAAATAAAAGTCTGCAGGTCTTTAACCCAGGGATCTAACCCATAGGTTTAACTCTTGAAAGTGAGTAACACTGTTTGATAGGATTATTGTGACTGTAGTATCGATCCTCATGTGATTATGACATACATGACGGTTCTCTTTGAAAGGGCTGTCAAGTCGCACCCAACTTACAGCAACCCTGTAGGGCTTTCAAGGCAAGACACGTTCACAGGTGAACCACCTAGCAAGGTTAATTGTTGGGGTTGTATTTCAGTATGTCACTTCTCATGTGAAAATGGGAACAGATTACTTTCCAAACTGAATAGATTAGGTAGGCTCGAGGACTACTTCAGGGCTCACTGTGTTGGACACCGATGGCCTTTTACAGCAAAGAAGGTTTGGTCCTGGCAGGTGATTCTGTGGCACTCAGTTTTGCATCCTTCTCAAACGGTTATAAGAACTCATTTGTAAGCGATCCAGAAATGGGTTTGTGTTGAGTATGTTCATTCTTCACCGTGCCTTGTCTTTCTCATGTACCTCAGTAGAACTGAGTCCCCCAGGGCTGCTGGGGATAGTGGAACGTGGGATTCATGATCATGTTTCCAAATGGGATAAATATCCTGGAAGTCAGACACGAATCCAAATTAGTCCCACAAGAGCCCATAACACCTCTCTGTCTGGAAGCGGCCTTTTTTCTAGCTCTGGGACTCATCTTCTTTTGTACGAGATCATTCACATATCGGAGACGTTAAAAGAATCTCTGCATTACTAGGTGGTGGAAGAGACTCTGTAGAAACAGACAAAGTGAGGAGGTCAGATAACGTGGAGCTGTCTTCTGTAGCCACGGGACCCCAGATCCCAAACTGGGGCATATGGGGTTCAGCTCAACTGAGGAGGGTCCAGAAAAGTCTGTCTTCAGAGTTTGTAACGAGTCACAGAACCTTGTGGGTGAAGTGGACCTTGGAAAGCATGCTGCGTCAGCCTTTCAAACCATGGGTGCACCGATATTTGCCAAAGTATCCAAAAGAGCAGGGCGGGACTTCCCGAAGAAACTCCCTGCTGGCTTGGTTGAGCAGCCAATAGGAGTTGCCCATGAGGGGTATGTTTCAACAGCAGGTGGTTCCTTCTGCTTAAGAGATCCATTGAAAGACGAGGTCGTTGAGCAGGGAGACATTGAAGACGAGGATGTCAAGGAAGCATCTCGGGAAGATGACGTGGACGACAGAAGGGTGTCCTTATCTGAAGATGAGCACTGCGGTGCCGCGGTTGCAGAGCTGGACCCCTCTGAGTATTTTTACCAAGCTGGACCTGATGTCCTGAAAAAGAACAAAACAGAATCCACGCCAGAACCAGGCGGACTTTCAGAGGAGAGGGTTCCCTTTCGGAGGGAGGCAACGGAAACTGTGCAGGTCTCGGAACAGCAGAAGGCTCCTGGAAGGAAATCTGGCAGTTGTGCATCAGAGCAACAGAGCAGCCGACTTCCGCATCTGAAAGGTGTGTGTGTGTCTTGCTTGAGGCTCAGTTGCCCTGCTTAAGGAAGGCAAAGCCTGCTAAGACCTCTAGTGACCTTGTCCCTGAAACTTGCTGCTTTGGCACTCACCTAAGGAACTGACAGGCTCGTGTGCCCTGGCCAGTGTAATCTTTGTTGCTTTCCTGCTTTAGATGAGCGAAATCTATTTGCATATAACAGCTGCACAAATCTTGCATGGATGCTTCTGTCCCCTTTCCTCCAGTCCTCGCTGTAAGTTATGTTTTCATTTTGCTTTATCCTAACAGTCGCTGTAGGCAGTTAAATAGATTTTATCATCGGCTGGTTATGTGCACTCTGAGAGAGGAAGGAACTAATTGATTTTGTCCCTCACTGAAGCATAATGAGCTGTTTCCCTTTATCCTTGGACGTCTCTAGGCATTCCTAGTTTTCCAGATTTGAGTACCTGGTGGGTGTCAGAAACCATTATGGAGTGTGTCAAATTAAGGGGGCTTGGCTTAAGTTGGTTTGGGTTTAAATCTGCATGCAAATGTAAAACGGTTCATTGGCCGTCATGTGCGCTGTGTTTCTTGGCCACATTCTCTCCATCACTAACAGCATTTATATTTAGCCCAAAAAGTGCACAAATTTTTCAGCATCCGTTTAATCCCCATGGATGAAAACTGCAGAAGGTTGAAGAGAGCATTGCTGTGCCACTTTCTTACCTGACTTAGAACCAGAGATGGTGCAGGAAGCAGCTGCCGCCAAAAAGGATAGCTACTGTGATCTCCTGCAGACGGTGGGCTGGATCCAACCTGTTTTTCTGGTAGTAGAAAAGGAAGGGAGGATCCCCTTTGACTACCTGGAAAGACTGTGCTGAGGATCATGGGACCAACATGGACAATAAGCGTGTGGGGTGAGGGCTGCAGTAAGGAAAGGACGAGATCGAGTGAAAAAGCTGGCTGGATCTAACCCAGTAGAAGACCTGTAGCAATGGGACTTCCTGGAAGATGTCCATCACCTCCTTTAACAAACCCTTGTAAAGGATCTTCTCTCCCGCTTATGAAATCCCATGTATATTTCATGCAGTCATCTTACTGAGGGGTTGCATGGTGAGAGAATTATGTACCTTGTTTTAGAATGTCCCCTGATGTCCTTCATGGTGTCCCTGTGTTTTGGGATTTTAAGAAGGGGAAAAAGCTTTATAATTAACTAAGAGGATATCACAGTTTCAAACCCTGTGGGGGAACACTTGTTCCTCTTTTCCCTATCCAAAAAGAATTGAGGATTATTATTTTTTTTGTAATTTGCACGTGAGGTGAGCAGATGGAGCAATTAATCCTGGCTTTTGTTTTCATTTTCTCCTCTTCTTCAGGATTTGTAGTAGGGTAGTTTAGAGTAAAGTAATCCTTTCATAAAGCTTTCCTTCGGTGCTGCCAGTAAAATCTGCTTGCCCTGGATTGCTCACAGAAGCCGTTCTGGAAAGTACAGTCTCTTTGAGGGGAATATCCAGTGGGTGTGACCTTTGTCTAGTGTGCCTGAGAGAGCGGATTGCTATTGAATCCTGTCAGAAGTGACAACATTTCTCTTGTGGACTAAAAGAGACACTGTAAAACAGCTCAAAGCGTTTTATGCGGGAGAGGATATTAGCCATGCCTGTGGGTCATCTGGAGAGATTTTAGGGCCAATAACTTCAGGGAAGGCCTACTTGGCATTGAGAAGCCTCCTGTTATCAGAAAGGTCAGGGGAGACCGTTCTTCTGTCAGCTTTATGGAGAACTGGACCTAAAGGGTGAGAAGAGGAGACCCTTCCCCCCCATCCAAAAGGGTCCTTGTAAATCCTTTCTGAAACTGAGTGGTTAGTGAATGAACCAGGAATCTTCTCACAAACTGATCAGCTTGTAGTTGTGCCTGTATCCTAGTAGTATGTAACAAGGAACGAGGGGCTGGGCACACAAGAAACTGTTGGAATCTATCATAGAAAAACCAAATTGAAGAGGTTAGGTAAAAGCAAGAGGGGTGCCCATTTCTTCTGGACTAGCCATAGGTGACTTGACTGTTCACTGAGTCTATGAGAAGCAGGTGTGCTCAGAGTTTCTTCTTTCAGGATCGGAAGGATTCTGCTTCATTCAGTTAATTACCTTATGATTGCTGAGGAGCAAAGTGGAAACGTCATGTGGAATGTTATTGCAATGGACATTAGAAAGACAGCATTCTGCTGACATCGGCTATAACAGAACCAAGGAGTGAGCATTTTCAGAAGCTTGGGGTTTGGTAGAAATCTAATTTCCCAGGATCTACAGTATTCTCTTATCTTTCTCTAGACAGATAGAGCCAGAGACTGTTGGTATGTTGTGGTTGGTCATTCTGGTTGCTTTTCAAATATAGGCACTGGATTAGGACCAGTCTATCTTTGTTGGCTTTCCCAAGAGACTACACCTTTGTGATTATGGTTTTCCAGCACAGCTTTCGCAAAGCACTGTAAAGTACAGTCTTGCCAGTCAAGACATGCTTCAGTAGTAGCCCTAGTTGATGCCGTGTAACTGAAAGGTTTCTACCCCCTGCTCCAACCAGGCCAGTGTGCTAGTCTCCCTTATGTGGGACTGCACAGGCACCACAAAGAAGAAAACAGAGTTGAGACAGAGGACAGTGGTTGTAACGGTTCTTCAAGTGGAATTCTGTGCTGACCCACAACCCATCCTCTTTCACTTTCCGTTTGTTAAATTTATATGGTGCCCGCTGTCATGGGCATGGATGAGGATGAGCTGACAGAGCCTGCAGAAACCACAGCTGGCCCCTCTGAAGCAGCAGAGGAGGATAGCTGGCAAGTGCCTGTAACAGCAGTCTTCACACCTTGTCCAGATAAGAAGGAAGAACTGCACGCTGAGAGTCCTCCTGACTCACCCCCACGTGTGACTCGTTTAAGGGAGTGACTGTGGCAAAACTTCGCAATGAGGCGAAGAGAGGCCAGGCTACAAGGGAGATGCTCAGCCAGCCCAGAGTTCTAACAGGAGCCTGGCCGATCGTGCAGCTGGCTAATTGATAGCAGCATTTAACTCCACACTCTGGGCAGTACCCTTCGTGGAAGCAACAAGTCAGCTTTGTGCTGCTCGCATCCACTCTGGCTTGGCTCTTGCACCTAGACCTTCGGACCCCCTGGCTTTGGACTTGGCTCTGTTTTCCTGGCTCCTGACCCCGGCTTGGCTTTGGACTACATCTCTGGTTAGTGATTTGGACTTGGCTCTGTGTTTCAGGCTCCTGACCCTGGCTTGGCTTTTTGGACTTTGCACTGTCTTCTTGGCTCCTGACCTTGGCTTGTTCTGGACTCCCTTTGACTGGCACCCCAGCCCGTGACACCCGCCTGCTGGAAAAAGAGCCTCTCTGAGGGGAGAACTTTAAAAGTGTAATTATTGAGAAGGAACTATATGGGAAAATGTTGTCTTTGCTTCTCCGTTTACGTGTGGTGTATGAAAAGCCTCAATATGAGGGAAGGAAGTAGTGGTTTATTTACCTCCCGCGCTTCCAGAGAATTACAGATTACGATCTATGTGGGCACAATCCCAAATGTGTAACCACACATTGCAAGGTCACAGTTAAGAAGCTGTGTTTTCATCCAAATGGGCCCTCCTTGGAACACTTTATGGGTGCATCTCCTCCTCCCAAAAGACCCATCTGCACCAAAAGACCCATTTGCACCCAACATCTCTTTATATAGCACTGCTTCATTTATTTGTGGAAAGCTTTGGAGAGCCAGTTTGGTGTAGTGGTTAAGTGTGCGGACTCTAATCTGGGAGAACCGGGTTTGATTCTCCACTCCTCCACTTGCACCTGCTGTTGTGACCTTGGGTCAGTCACAAGCTCTGGCACAGCTGTTCCTGAAAGAGCAGTTTGTGTCAGAGTTCTCTCAGCCCCACCCACCTCACAGGGGAGGGGAAGGGAAAGGAGTTTGTAAGCCGCTCTGAGACTCCATGTGAAGGGTGGGGTATAAATCCAATCTCCTCCTCCTCCTCCTCCTCCTCCTTATTCCGCCAGTCAACCAGGACTTCGTCGACAGTACCAGCCTTGCTGACCAGAAATTTCCCAAGAGTCATTGGGAAACTGTCCGGATCAATCAGCCTCCTGGAACAGACCACCTTCACTGGTTCTTCACCCTTGTGGAGGTTCCGAATGTCTGTCAGCCTGTGACAAGGGCGGAATGGAAATCTCCCTCATTCCCAAACTGTGTACTTGACCCCAGAACCAGACAGAACTTATGTCCCACTACCAGTGTTCCCTCTAAGGTGAGTTAGTGTGAGCCAGCTCACAGTTTTTTAGCCTCTGGCTCACACATTTTTGTCTTAGCTCAGGCAGGAGGGCTCCAGAGCAAACTGATTGATGCAGTAGCCAAATCACTCGCTCACAACTTTAATGCCAGGAGCTCACCAAGTAGAATTTTTGCTCACAAGACTCCACAGCTTAGAGGGAACATTGCCCACTACACATGCAAAGGGATCAAAATGTTGAGGGACTGCCCCATGGTGGTCCTGGCCAACATGAAGTCCTGAGCTGCTCTCGTTAAGGAAGCCTCAGCATGGATGTTGGAGTTGTTGAGGATCACAAACCTGTGAGGGTCGTCAGTACCAGATCGGAGACCATCTCCAGCGGTTTGGTAAGAAGACCATTGGGACGGAATATCTTCGTTACTTCTAGTGAGGGCTAATGAATATCTGACTTATTTGAACAGTACTTACTGTGATGATGATCACATTATCTCAGTTTCTCGATAACGTCTGAGCCCTTGAATAAGCTGACTTGTTGGGGGAACATTTGTTGTGATGCTTTTCTGTGTGTTGACCATCTAACTCATCAAATACCACTTTTCCTGTCAGCGACCAATCCTTGTTATGAAAGTGTATGCTGTACATGGGCTTGAGCCTGTGATCTGAAGGGAATGCAGTGGTGAATCCTGGATTTATTTGACAACTAATAATCTGACGAAGACAGGTTCTCTGTGATTACTTAGACATTCTTAACATTTTGAGGTTTTGGGTATGTCGGTGAAAATCACAATGTTCATTATTTGTGTGTGTGTGTTGAAAATGTTTTCTGTGCTGGGGTGGTGGTGGTAGTTTCCTGAGTTAACCGCAGCAGGATTCCTGGCAGATAGACTTCACAGTTCCCTAGAGAAGCACACTGACCTGTGAATGATCTAGAAATAGTAGTGTTGCTGGTTTGTGTTCTCCTGAAATCATCTTATATATAGGATGTGTCCCAGAATCTTATCTCGCGGACAGCGGCTTGTGTAAAGCAACTCTTCTGGGGCAAGTGTACCAAATGGTGCTAGTCGGTCCTCGAATGAGAGCGGCAGAAGGCAGCCAAAGTGACATCAGCGTTCTATATTTTGAAACGGCGTCACACTTCCCCCACAATCCCATTTTCTTGCCCTGAAGAAATGCCTTTAGGGTACCTAGAAAGTTTCACACTAATAAAAGCTAGCTGGCCCAAATGGAAACAGACACCCAGGGCACGGAGGTTCTAGAAGTTGTAGGGGGTGGCTAATGTGATTTGTTGTTTTGGGAGTTAAAACAACCACAGTGGTCTTGCCAGTTCTTGACATCACACTGCAGACAGAGCTTCACACACACAACAGTTGTGAGGGGCTGCCAAGAGTGGTACCAATCTGGAAGGAACACACAGCATTTTGTTCCTTATCACACAGCTGCCTGGAGTCTTCTTCTTGCCTTTTTGTATGTGGTTTTTGTTTTGAGATGGTTTGGGAGACTAATATGACGGCAGGGCTGCTTTTTGCATCAACGCCGAGCATGCGATGGCGCAAGAGCAGCCAGCCAGTCTACAAACCAGAAGCGTGGGTTTTCTGTTTGCTCTTTGCAAGAGAGCAGATGAAGGCTGCGTGCCGCGATTAAAATCCGAGTGGGCCTGCCCTCTTCAGAATTTTAACTTAGAACCTTCTCCCTCCCACCCGCCCTCATTCTTGAGCGAACGTAACTGTAATTTTCTTTTTTCCCCCATCAGCTCGTATTGACAACAAAGATAAAAACGGGACTGGGATTGAAGAAGCAAAGCCAAAGGTAAGCTGATGAATGTAAGCTGGCTGGTTACATTCCCTCGTCCCCCTTTAATGCTTTGCTTTGTCTTGGAACATTTCTTGTAGTGCATTCCCCAGTTTTCATTTATCTTTTCTTACAAAAAAAATGCAATGACTGTCTCATTATATACTTTTAAAGAAATAAGCTTAAAACCATGATAAAGCACAGTGCAGTCTGCAACGAATTCCTCTCTGTGACTATTGCCACTTTTGCCACTCTCCAGAGTTTCCAGGTGTTCTTCTGAGCTGTTGATCTGTCATAATTTCAGTGCTGCATAGTTTTTCTGAGGCTCACGTGGTTTAATCTGAGCCAGAATCCCCTAAAACAAATACTTCTGCCCTATATTCCCAGAAGCCCACTTTCTTCATGTCTCGGGTTGCCAGGTCTGGGTTGGGAAATACCTGGATACTTTGGGGGTGGAGCCAGGAGAGGGCGGGGTTTGGGGAGGGGAGGGGCCTCAGCCTAGTACCATGCCACAGAGTCCACCCTCCAAAGCAGCCATTTTCTCCAGGGGGAACTGATCTTGATAGTTTGGAGATCAGTTCTAATACTGTGAGATCTCCAGGTGCTACCTGAAGTATGGCAACTATATTCATGTCACAAATCTCCAGGTGCAACCTGGAGGTTGGCAACTGTATTCATGTCACAGTCCTGTCTCATCGCTCTAGCTTGGACAGCTGGTTGTTGCTGTGGAACTAGGAAATCCCGTTTGCCAGAAACGTCTTCCCATACTGAGCATTTCTGTATGGGCTGAGTTGTGGTCAGAGTAGAGTAGAGCCTAACTTTATTCCATGTTAGGTGCACTTTTTTTTTTTTTTTAATGTACCCATCCAGAACAGGGTGTGAAGCAAGTTACATAAAATGTGCAATTTGCATATTATCGCTGAAAGAACTGCATAGAATATCGATTCAGGTAGGTGGCTGTGTGGGTCTGAGACAGAAGAACAAAGGTTGAGTCCAGTGGCACCTTTAAGACCAGCTTATGCTGCGAATAAAACTTTGTTAGTTTTAAACATGCCACTGGACTCAAACTTCGTTTTCCGAGTAAGTTAATGCATGAAATATCAGTTTTCCTGAGTGTATGTTGCAAGGTAAAGGAGATGATGGAGCTATTGTAATGTTTCCTGGGCTTCTACTTTATGCTGACCTCACTGTGGTGGTCAGGAGTTAAAGGTAAAGGTTTCCCTTGCTCGAAAGCCAGTCGAATCAGACTCTAGGGATGCGATGCTCATCTGTTTCCAAGCTGAAGAGCCAGCACTGTCCAGAGACGTTTCCGTGGTCATGTGGCCAGCATGACTAGATGCCAAGGCGCATGGAATGCTGTTACCTTCCCACCGAAGCAGTACCTGTTTATCTATTTGCAATTTCTTGCTTTCGAACGGCTAAGTTGGCATGAGCTGGGACCATACCATGTGCTAATTTACCACTGTACTCCATAAGTGTGGTGGCCTTTCTTCATCAGAAAAAGCTTCGCACGTAGCGGAGCAGCGATAGGCTATAACGTAACCCTATACGGGTAAACATCATGATAGAAAGCACCTGTACTTTCACATGCTCATTTGATGGAGTATTGTTTAAAGGTCAGTGATTCTGGTCTTTCTAAGGGCAGGCGTGAGTGGGTCATCTCTGTCCTTTGTCGATGAAGAGGGGGTGTATGGGAGGGAGGGAGCCAATACCTGTCAGCTTCCAATTTTCTTTTACCAAAACTTTTTTGTCATCCTCGCTGTACTTTAACCGTCATCCGCTCCTAGTTTATTTGTGTTATTTTTGCTCCCCCCCCCTTTCTCTCACTGATCTTTGGTTTAATTTTGTTTACATGTTTAAGACATCTGTACCGTCCTCTGTCAAAACCCAGAAAAGTAGATCCTCTGTTACCCCCAAACGAACCTCTTCCGTTAGTTCTATCCCTTTGAAAAAACCCTCCGGCCCTCCTGAGTCCTCAGGAGCAGCTTCTACCCCTAAACGAATACCTTCTGTCACATCCCGACTCACCAGTAAAGGAGCAAAAGGGGGAAAGATGGAGGTAAGGGCATGGTGTTTAAAAAAGGAGTTGGCTGGGGAAAGGGAGGGGACTCCTCTGTTGCTGTCTGACTTGATTCATGTTGGTCTGCGCTAGTTTGGTCTGTGTATTTAACCTGTTGTTTGCAATGTGGATATCTGTATGTGTGGATTGGCTTATTGAGAACTTGTGGATGCTGCCTTTCTGCTAAAGCCAGTTTGGTGTAGTGGTTAAGTGCGTGGACTCTAATCTGGGAGAACCGGGTTTGATTCCCCACTCCTCCTCCACTTGCACCTGCTGATGTGACCTTGGGTCAGTCACAAGCTCTGGCACAGCTGTCCTTGAAAAAGAGCAGTTTGTGTCAGAGTTCTCTCAGCCCCACCCACCTCACAGGGTGTCTGTTGTGGGGAGGGGAAGGGAAAGGAGTTTGTAAGCCACTCTGAGACTCCTTTGGGTAGTGAAGGGCAGGGTATAAATCCAATCTCTTCTTCTTCTTCTTCTTCTTTTACCTCACAGGGTGTCTGTTGTGGGGAGGGGGAGGGAAAGGAGTTTGTAAGCCGCTCTGAGACTCCAAGTGAAGGGCGGGGGATAAATCCAATCTCTCCTCCTCCTCCTCCTCCTTCTAAATAAGTAGTGCCTGAAATAGCTGACAAAGGGTAAAAGAATCAGCATCATAAAAACTACACCGCGGCATCAAATGTTAATGGCAGTCACATAGCATTAAACCGATTGACTAGCCACATCAGACCAGGTCCCAGTTTCACAAAACTGTCCACCAAGTGTTTTTTGAAATAGAAATATCTTAAGCTGATGTTCGCAGGTGTGAGAAATACAGTGGAATACTCTGAGCAAGGGCGTCTGGGCAATTACCTTTCCATGTACCTGTTCTCCTTGTTTCCTGAGAATGACCAGCCCAGTACTGGCCACCTCCTCTACTCCTCAGCTAAGTTTGGCCAGTGGTCTTTATAGCCAAGCTAAGGAACAGTCCCAGCTCACAACTAAGCGAACAGCTGTGTAATGCACTACAGTGCTGCTCAGTTATGTCCAGTTCCCTTTGAATGAAGCCCTGAAAACTGTCACGTGATGCCTTCGTCTCCCTTTGTGGTGCATTAGATATATTTAAAGGAGGGCTTGTATGGCTTTTGTGCAATGTTGCAGTGAAAGGAGCCAGTGAGAGCCTCCTCTAGCCCGTTGTGTCTGCTGGGCTAAGAAGATAATCAGGAAAATGAGAGTGAAGGAAGATTTCAGTGGTGTCTGCATCATTCGATGCTGCGAAGGCTGCAACATTTGGGTTCCCAGAGAACAGAAGCCCTGGCACATTGCCCCCCATTCTGCATCTTCTGTGGAGGTCCATGTTGACAGGAGGTGAAAGATGTAGTCAGTAGTCACATGGCTTTTGTAACGCAGCTTTCTCACTCACACAGAGGGCCTACCGCCTTCTGCAGCCTCTCTTTCTCAGGTTCATCGTTACAAGTAGGTCAGGCTGTCACATGTCACTACCCTCCTTGGGTAATATAGAGAGAGTCATTATCGTTTTCCCTCTCAGGTCCTTTCTCCCTCAGAGACATAAGCAGATAAGGTAGCCCAGCTCCCTTCGATAATTTCCACTCACTCAGACGCTGCACAGAGTTACTGGAGCTGGGGACTCAAATAGTGTTCATCTTCTGTCTTCCTGTGCAGCCATTGGCTAGCTGCAGACATTTTCTTTCTAGCTTTAAAACTCCAAAAATGGGGGGTGCCCCATGCCTAAGGAGCCAGCGCATATGCGGGTTTTCCCGCTGAGTGTGTCACATGCTCCAGGAGCTGCAACCCTGTCCCTCGGTTCCTTTTTTGCCACTGCGAGAGTAGGACACTTTCGAATGTGCTCAGATATTCTTTCCCCTTTGTCATTTTGAAAAAAACAACAGTGTAGATTTCTTGCTCATTCCCATCAGGAAAGTGATCGATTCAATCGCTGTACTTTTCTTCCTGGGAGAAGGTTCCCTTTCTCAACCGAGATCTCTCCTGTGTGGAATTGTGTGCTTAAGGTCCCTCCATAATGGCGTCCAAGGCACTTCCCTTTCTCAACCGAGATCTCTCCTGTGTGGAATTGTGTGGTTATGGTCCCTCCATCCAAGGCACTGTTAAAAAAGAATGTTCAAAATGTGGTATAAAAATGACCCACGCAGACAAGCATGAGTTTTGCCTCCTTTACTTGGGTGAAGCCCATAATTGCAGGGCTTGCCTGGTTTGCCAATGCTTCACACCCAATGTACTGGACCCGGTGGATCTGGTGGGGGAGCAGGCAGACGTTCCGCAGAACAACCAGGCAGACAGTACCAGGTAGCCACTCACAGTACAGGTTCAAGCAGGAGAGTGGTCAAGAGGCAGTCCAAGGGTCAGTTATCCGGAAAGGGAGTCGTCAGTCAGTTCAAGAGGCAGGGGTCCAGAAGTCGGGTGGTCCAGTGTTCAGTTCAGATTCAGAGCAACAGAGGTTCTAGTTGGCAAGTCAGAAGACAAAAGTGGGTGGTGATGTAGCCGTGGTACAAGTTGCGTCCACAATGAGCAGCTTCCCCCTTCCTGGATTTAAAGCTGGCTCTCCATGGGCTGTTTAGCTGCTGCTAATTGTGGCACACATCCCTGCAAGTACTCATCTGGCGACAGGTGTCTGCAATCCATCAAACTGCAACTAGCTCTTAGCTCTGTTCTCCACTGACAGTGCCCTCGCTCAAAGGGTGTTGGAGAAACGCTGGGCCCCAGCCTCCTCCCTCTCCTTCACATCTGGACTGGATGCTGGTAAATTGCTTGCAGCTGGAGGAGAGGGCAGATTGGCTACAGCCGGCGTTTTGTCCAGAGCTTGCATCTCCTGTTCCTGAAGATTGATGGGCTCTATCACAGCTGGATGTTCCTCTCCCTCCGAGGAGGTGGTATCATTATCAGGCTGCACACTCATCCGGTCAGGTGGGCTACGAGGGAGATGTATGACACCCAAGGCTCATGCCAATAGAGCCTCGAGGATTAAAGGTGCATTATGGGAGAAGGCCCTTTACTCCTTGATTCCAGCTAAACCTCCTAGTCCCGGGTCATCGGTCTCAGTTCCACCTCCTTTGGCTCCGACCATTGGACCAAGTTCCAGTCCCCCTTCAGTCCGCTCCATTCTGGTGGTTCTGATCATGAGAGTGGTCCTGTTGCCTACTAAAAGAGCTGCTTCGTTCGCCTTGGTGACAGAGAGGGCATCACCACACTTACCTTCTCCGGGCTCTTCAAAAAAATAAATCTAGACCTCATTCCTAGCCTCCTGCTAAAAAACACAGGAGATCGAAGCACAAAGATAAGCCTAGTGTTAGGTGCTAAAACAGTCGAAATGGGCAGAGCGACCCAAAAGCTCGGACCTCAACTGGGAGTGTTCTGATACCACTGTGTACCCCATCTCCCCATCTGGCTTCTTGTACGGGCTCTTTCTCCGATCCAAACAGTGATCAGCCTGAGATCCCTGCAGGGCAGCCGATGCAGCCAGAACCAAGACCCCCCTTGTCGTGGCAACCCTCTGGCTACCAACAGCCCTCTTATTACATGACCCCCTCTTATTTGAGCCAGTTCTACAAAGAACATCAGCCCCAGTTCTATAAAGAACATGATCCTTCAGCGGATTACATAAAGGATCATCCTGTTGAGTGCCTGCTCCATTCCCCAAACCATGATGTCGGGGAAGCCTCAGCAGCCTCTCATTACAGTCCTAAGAGCATGCCGGAGCTGTCCCTGGATGATATTGTAGGCAATCTAAACCCAGTATCCCTGAGTGAGGACTTTTGCCTATATGGGTTTAGATTCCAGCATTTGGGATCATCTGTTACAAATTCTGTTGCAAATTCTTTCCAGGTAGCTTTAAGCTGATCTTCACCACAGCTTCCCTCAGCCAGACACACTCCCAACTCCCCAACCTCTCTCGCCCACTCTCTTAACTGCTCCCCTCAGTTCCCGTAACTGCCGTTTTCAACTGTCACTAACATTCTGTCAGCTCCCATTGGCTCCTCTGAGGGAGAGGCGGAACCTAACCTGCCCGTCACAGCTTTATAGCCGGATATCAGATTTTCCATGCTGTAAAAAAAGGAGGCATGAAAATGCATGGCAGTATTGGCATGGGTGCAGGCATAACTCATAGACATAGCACTGGTTATTTAATAGTATAACAACAAGCGATACCTCTTCCTAAACCTGTGAGTTTGGGAGCTTAGCTGCAGAGTAACATGAACTGCATCCATGTCCCTTCCTGAATACTTGGTGGTATAAATTCACCCGCTGAAATAGTGAATACGTTCACAGGTCTAATGGAACAGTTCAAATGCTCCTGAAGCCACAGTCTCACCGGCTTGCTAGTTTTACTTCACTGGTGTACAGAGGAACGCTTAAGAGTGACTTACTGATTTCTAAAATCGAGTGAAGACGAGAAAATCATGTTGTTTACTCTGAAAACCATGTACGAGAGTGGTATGAGAACAGTGAGTCTGTTTTCGGAGGCATTGGTTGGGGCTAAATTAATAAAGGAAGCCTTACACACACGCACACACACCCAACCAAAATTTGTTTTCCTTTTGAAGTTTTTGTGCAGTGCGGTAAACCCTACCCTTTCCCAAAACCAGGGTCCGGATATGAAAAATGTAACAAAGATAGCCACTCCACGTCCTGCTGGAGCACAAAATCAAAAGAACCCAGGCAATGCTTCGCGGATCCCAGCCAAAACTCCCACCGTCCCCAAGACACCGCCCAGCCTCGGTAAGTCAAGAGATTCGTTGGGGGCACGGAAAGCATTCCACAGGGGGGTTTAGTCATTTGAAGAAGGCAAAGATCTGCTGTGTTAGACCTAAGGCCTCTCTTACAGACAGACGTGATATCTTCTACCTAAAATATTGCAAGAGAATGGATGCCTCCACGCATGTTAGATGATGCAGTTTCAATGCACTTCAGCGACCGTTTGGAAGTGGATTTTGCCATTTCACATAGTGAAATCTAGGTGCAAAGTGCATTGAAGATGGATTGAAAGTGCGTTATTTAGTGTGTGTCAGAAATCTTTCTTACAGGGTGTGTTTTTCTTTTGATGGAGAGCTGTGACTTCAATCAGAGGTGCCTCCAGAATGAGTGACATGAAATTGATTTGATCTAATCTTCTAAAATGAAACTGATGCGGTTATCAGGGCAGAAATCTTAAGTAAAAGTAACATGAGAAGCATCTTTCCATCCCTCAGCACCTTGGTGACCTGACTTTCCGAACAAATGGAGAAGAAGAAATGTACTGCTCTGTGTATTTAACCTTCCAGAGTAATGCCATACCTTTCCATTATGTGGTATTTATCCCACTTCATAGGGTGGCTTCTATTTGAGAGCATAGTAACCCGTTTAAAATATATAATCAAGATGGGTGGCCGTGTTAGTCTGTCTGTAGCAACAGAAAAGAGCAAGAGTCCAGGAGCACCTTAAAGACTAACAAAGTTTGTGGCAGGGGAGGAGCTTTCGTGAGTTACTGCTCACTTCTTCAGATGCAGCTAGAATGTGGGTCCATCCAGGGGTCATTTCGTAGAAAAAGAGGTGCAGGAGGTCATTAGCATACCTCATTAGCATAACTTATTTGCATATGCCACACCCCCTGACATCACCGGAAGTGTGTCAGAAGGCAACACCCACCACTCAGGCTCCATTGGACTGTTTTGGATTGCTAGCTATGGGGGGGGGGGAAACGTGCAGATCTGGCGGGCCGGGGGGTGGGCTCTGCAAGCTACCTGGCTGCTTCTTGCTCCTTGTGGCCCGACTGAGGGCTGCTGGGAGCAGGGGGCTGGGCTTGTTGCATGTGCCCGCCCCCTGGGCTCCTTACTGCCGGAGCTCGGCTCCTGTGCGCTTCCGCAGGAAATGACCCCTGGGTCCATCGGTTCTTATATCTTAGAGAGTGGAGTGAATGTTGTGCTTTCTAATGTTAGACTTAGGTCCATTTATTCTTTGTCATAGGAACTGGCCTTTTTTGTCCAAGGTAGAGGGTAGAAGGACATTGCTTACATGTGATAGCATAAATCACATTAGAGGATGAGCAGTAGAATGAAGCTGAGATGGTACAGCTGATGTCGCTGGGTCCAGAGACGGTGTTGCTGGACTCTGTATGACAGCAAAGTTGGCATTTGGTTTGTTGCAGGCCTTGGTACTAGAGTCCATGTTACTTTTAAGTAGTTTATCATTGCGGGTGAGAAGTTGTTTTAGGTTAGCAGGCTGTCTGTAAGGAAGAAAAAGTTGGCCCCCCAGTGCCTGTGTGAGGGAAGTGTCACTATCCAGCATGGGTTAATAATACGTTGAACTGGCTTTAGTGGGGGGGGGCGGTGGCTTCTGGAGTTCTGACACCACTGATGAGCCTCCTGAGGGCACCTGGGTTTGGCCACAGTGTGACACAGAGTGTTGGACTGGATGGGCCATTGGCCTGATCCAACATTGGCTTCTCTTATGTTATATTCTTATGAGTTGTGAGCTGTATTTGACCACCGTTGGTGTTCTGTTGTCATTTTCTTTGGGCTTGTCTTGTAGCAAGCTGTCCCTGGGTATCATTCTGACCCTTCTAATCATCTTTCTCAACATCTCAGGAGGATATTGCAGTTGCAAAAATATATGTCACTGATTTTAATGAAGGGTTATGTTTGTCCTTTCAGCTGCCAAGAAGGAGCAGAGAAGGCCCCCAAACACGGCTGCAAAATCGGAGAGAGGTAAAAATAAAAGTAGTCTGTTTGCTGTTTGTTCCTTAAAAAAATTCAAAGTCGGTGTTCCGGTGTTGACCTAAAAATTCGCAAGCTCAAGGTGGTTTCATTAGTACTCTTCATTGGAGGTTAAAAATAGATTCCCCCCCCCCCTTATTAGGTTGCTTCTATGGAGAGTTCTAGTTTGTGGTACGTGTGGCTCCATGGTAGGGCATCTGCTTTGCATGCAGACAGTCCCAGTTTCAATCCTTTAAAAGGATGCTGTAGTAGATGATTTGAAAGACCTCCACCTAAGACCCTGGAGAGCTACCACCAGTCCGAGTAGACAAGACAGGCCTTGATAGACCAATAGTCCGATAAGATAGCTCCTTATGATCTTAGGATGGTAGAGGAGGAGGATTCTTTAGTAGGTCAGAAAAGAGGAGCTTCATATTAATTAAGATGTTCCTATACCATTTTTTCCAAATAAAAGATTCCATTTGAAATTTAAAGTAATCAAAGTCATCAAACTGAATTGTGTTCAGTTTGGGGCACCACAATTTAGGAAGGTTATAGACTAGCTGGAAGGTGTCCAGAGGAGGGCAACGAAGATGGGGGAGGGTTCTGGCGACCAAGTCCTGTGAGGAAAGGCTAAAGGAGCTGGATATGTTTAGCCTGGAGAGGAGACGACTGAGAGGTGATATGATAACCATCTTCAAGGACTTGAAGGGCCGTCATATAGAGGATGGTGCGGAGTTGTTTTCTGTTGCCCCAGAAGGTCGGACCAGAACCAACAGGTTGAAATTAAATCAGAAGACTTTTCGGCTAAGCATTAGGAAGAACTTCCTGACAGAGCGGTTCCTCGGTGGAACAAGCTTCCTCGGGAGGTGGTGGTCTCTCTTTCTTTGGAGGTTTTCAAACAGAAGCTAGATGGCCATCTGAGAGCAATGCGGATTCTGTGAACTTTGGCAGATCACGAGAGGGAGGGCAGGAAGGGTTGCCTCAGAGAAGGGTTCTTTTGGCCCTTTCTTACACGCCCAGAGAAATGCCGATTGCCACTTTGCGGTGAGGAAGCAATTTTTTTCCAGGCCTGTTTAGCCAGGGATCCTGGAGGCTTTTCGCCATCTTCTGGGCATGGAACAGAGGTCACTGAGTATGTGGGGAGAGGTATTGGTGAATTTCCTGCCTTGTGCAGGGGGTTGGACTAGATGACCCTGGAGGTCCCTTCCAACTCTGATTCTATGATTCTGCGGAACAAAAATAATTACATTAAAAAGAAGTAAAAATTCAAAACAGTTATGGTGATGATAAAGTCAGATATCACTCAGGGCCTAAAAATAAAAGTATAAAGAGACAATAAGAGCCATTAAAATCCATCCAACAATAAAGCAGTGTACCAAACATAAAACCCAGCCAGAATAAAAAGAAAACGAACTCCAAATGCTGGAATGAAGAAAAAAAGCTTTGGCCCGGTACTGAAAGACGAATAGGTCGGGTGCCAGATGAACCGCTGGAGAATGGGTTCCAGAAATTGGGTGCCACGTGTGTGGTTAGTTACCTCTGAAGGGAAGTAGCTAGCAGGGAAGGAAGTTGAAAGAGGAAGGAGGAACCTCGTCCACCATCATTCTTGTTGCCTTTCTCAGCGAACCAGCATCAAGTGCATCATTTCTTTACTATCAGAGTCTAATGCAGGGGTGGCCAAACTGTGGTATGGTGTGGCTCCTGGCAGAGCGGCTGGGAAAGTGAAATGATCGGTCTTCCCTTCCCCAGCCAGTGTTCTCTTCCCTAGATAGGCTTGAGATTGGGGGGGGGGAGCAGTGAAAGGAAGCAACTTTAAATGTGTTCTTAAAGACACACACACACCCCTTGCAAGCCAGCTTGGAGAAGGCATTTGTCTCTTCAAATCACTTCCCCTCCTTCCTTCCTTCCTTCCTTCCTTCCTTCCTTCCTTCCTTCCTTCCTTCCTTCCTTCCGTCTCCCTCTCTTTCTTTCTCTCTCTCTTCCCTTCCTCCCCATCTAAAGTTAAATATCATTATCAATATCTGTTCTTACCACTCTTGTTTTTATTTTTGGCAGTCTCATTCAATGTTAATAAAAAAGCAAATTTGCATATTATCAATAGAAATGTGTGGGTCATATTTATCCATGTCTTGTGGCTCTCAGACATCTGACGTTTTTTCTGTGTGGCTCTTACATTAATCAAGGTTGGCCACCCCCGGCCTAATGTAACAGGGATGGGTGTTATGTATCTCGTGGAGGTCAAAAATGAACCAGAGTGGTGCAGCAAATTTGGATACTCACAAAGCAGCCGTTTGGATGCTGCTGTATTTACTATATGGATATTGATGTTGAGAGCCGGGTTCAATGGAAGACCTGGGTTCAAATTTGTGCTCAGTCATGATATTCGTCTTGAGGAACCTTGGACCGGTTGCTATGTCTTTCAGCCACACCTATTTTATAGTGCTGTTGTGAAGGTAGACAGGGGGAGGGGTGAAGCATGACCCCTTCTCTGTGCTCCTTCAAAGGCAAGATGAGATAAATGTGCAACAGACAGAGGAATGTTATTATCAGCAGCAAAACAGCTGAGTTCTGATGCTTGAACTTTATGAACTGCAGGAGCTGAAAAGTGCAATGAATTTTGAGCTCTAGAGGCTGTCTTATATCTCCACTAATTTCACTGTTGAAGTACTGTAAGATAAGCCAGCTTTAGATTGATACCTACAGAAATATACGTGAATTCTCTCAACTGCATTACAGCAAAAATATGCAAGTGGTCTGTGAGCCCTTTCGCTGCACAGATTTGATCCTCTAGTCTAGTGTTTGGCTGTTGAACCAAACTTAACAACAGCTGCATTTTGTGGGCCATGTGGCATGCTAGAGCCTCATTATTCCGACAGCAGTGAAGGTGTGATTTCTTTCATGCCTATTGAACAGAAGGAAATTTGGTTTTGAGTCAGTAATGAATACATTCATTTAAATCAGGGGTCCCCAACCCTTTTGAGCCTGGGGGGGGGAACCTTGGGAATTCTGACACCGCTTGGTGGGTACAGCCGCAAAATGGCTGCCCTAAAATGGCTCCTGGAGGAAATGGAGCCAGTTACAAAATGGCCACCGCCGCTTACCTTCAATCACTCAGTGAAGATCCGTGTGCTGTGGTGGCTGCTGCCGCCAAAGCAACTTTTTTTTGTAAATCTGCGCACGGAAAGCCAGGGCTAATCTGAGAGTCCTGTTTTATTGGAAGAAAGGCCTAGAACGTTCTCAGGATTCATTTGGAAGTGAAAGTTTTTACTCTCTCCTAAAACTTGTCGAGACCTACAAGGAACATCTGGGCCTTATACAATCAAAGTACGTTATCCCAAATGATCTGTTAACAGCTAACAGTTCAAGGCGGGAGTTGAGGGAATGGGTATTTAACATGGATGGGAAATTAGATAGTAATGCAATCAGTCAATCTAGAGTGGCCCCTTTCTTCAAATTATTTAAAAAAGACCATACCAGGTTATCTTACCTAAAGACTTTAACAACAGTGAAATTAAGGTTGGCCTTTACCAACTTAAGATTTCAAGCTGTGCCCTCCATGGTTCGCACCGGCCAATTTCTAAGGGGCCCTGCCCCCTTACGACTTTGTATGTGTGGTACTGGAGAAGTAGATGATTTGACCCCATTACATTTTGAGATGCCCTCGTCCTTTGCCCCCTCGAAATAAATTTATCACTGGTATCTTATCTCTGCAGGAAGGCGTTTCAGGTATGGAAAAAGTTATATTTTTGCTTGCAGATAAAGAGCCATATGTTTCTAACAGAGTCGTTTTGTTTGCATCGGTGGCTAGATCGGTTAGATTGAACGGTATGGAAATGACCACAACCTAATTTGACTCTGTATTTACATTTATTTATTTAACTTTCGGCTTATATACCGCTCAAACCCTTTTGCAATATGACCTTGTTGGATATTAATTTAATTTGTATTTACCTTGGAGCTTTATCAGGTGGGATTTTGTACATTGTTTTTTCTGTATTGTTATGACCTATGGTCAACACAGTAAATTACTAAACTACTACTCGTAAATCTGCACAGCCAATCGGAAACCTTGCTGGGCAAAGGCCCCACCTGGCCCCGCCCACTTCCTGAAAACACTTGGTTGGTGCTAGAAGAGGTATCAGTCAGTGCCGGGGTGCTCACAGGCACCATGTTGGGGCCCCGTGATCTCACTGTATCCGCTTTCCTCTCAAACCACAGGTGAACCGGTAAAGTCTGGCGATAGAAGTGGCTACAGCAGTCCTGGTTCTCCAGGGACCCCCGGCAGCCGCTCCCGCACACCCTCCTTGCCCACCCCTCCCAACAGGGAGCCCAAGAAGGTGGCCGTGGTCCGCACCCCACCGAAGTCCCCTTCTTCTGTCAAGAACCGCCTGCAGGCAGCTCCCGTTCCCATGCCAGACCTAAAGAACATCAAGTCCAAGATCGGCTCCACTGACAACTTGAAGCATCAGCCGGGGGGTGGAAAGGTAAATCCTTACAGTTCCTTGCATTTCCATGTGAACGCCCCTAAAAGAGAAGTCTGAACTTGGCGCAGGTTGACCTACTTGGTTTTGGCCCCTCAGGGGGCCTTTTTTCTGAATTTATTATCCCTCCCAGGCTCTACCCCCTGTGGGGAGGTGCATCTCTGGCGTGTACTCTGAAGATCTTTGCACACAGCTGCATCTCGGTAGATCACTAATGTGTACACGAGGATTTGTAGAGTGTGTGTATGTGTGTGTGGGGTACTATTCTAAGGCTGAGGTTTGAAGACTGCCAGAATAGGGCCAATTAACTCTCCCGCTCTCAGCCAACGAAGGAAGCAAGCAGGAAGGGGAAAGGGCTGTTGTGGCCAGTGCTCCCTCTAAGCTGCAGAGTCTCGTGAACAAAAACTCTACTTTGTGAGCTGCTGGCATTAAAGTTGCGAGGGAGCGATTTAGCTGCTGCATGAATTAGTTTGCATTGGAGCCATCCTTCCTGAGCTGAGACAAAAATGTGTGAGCCGGAGGCTAAAAAAACTGTGAGTTAGCTCACACTAACTCAGTTTAGAGGGAACACTGCCCAGGATTAAACTTTGTTGGTCTTAAAGGTGCCACTGGACCAACTGCTCCTTCTAAGCTGTGGAGTCTTGTGAGCAAAAATCCTACTTTGGGAGCTACTGGCATTAAAGTTGCAAGCGAGCCATTTGGCTACTACATAAATTAGTTTACATTGGCGCCATCCTTCCTGAGCTAAGACAAAAATGTGTGAGCCAGAGGCTAAAAAACTGTGAGCTAGCTCACACTAACTGAGCTTAGAGGGAACACTGGTTGTGGCCTGACAAACTCTTCTGCTTCCTGCCTCTCTGAAGCCTTCGTGGGTGGAATAACAGTTGCGGTGACTGCAACTCTTAAGCTTCAGCACCTGGGGGAAGAAAGCACCTTTGGCTCTGCCCGCTGCTCCCTTTGTGAAGCTCCGCACATGCAGGTGAGCGCCAGTGTCTTGCCCTCTCCCTGGAGGGCCCGCCCCGCAGCTGGAGAACCCCAGTACTACTGGAAATGAAAGGGTTCGTCATCTTTCCATTGCCATGTTAATTGCAGCACTTTTGTCTCTTGGTTTGAACATCACCCGTTTGAGAAGGATAAGTAGCGAGGTTTGTTTGATGCGATGCTCAGTGCATTGGCCCGTCGGAACAAAAGGAATACTTAGTTTTTACAGTGGGATGCTGGGGGGTGACGTCTCTTTGAAAAGCGTGTCATGTGGAAGCTGGGCATGCAGGGTTGGTGTGTGATGCAGAAAGAACGTTCTGCACGTGGATAGAGGTATACTCTAATTAACGTCCACGTGAAGGCAGAATAGATGTGACATCCCTGCAGGCACCCCATGCACAGAAATGACACATCCTCTAGGTTTATGCATGCCAGTCATTCTCACTGCTAGAACCCCTGGCGAATGTGCTTGAACTCTTGATTTCATCCTGGATGTGTTAAGGTTGCCCTGCATCTGTTTCACAGCCAGCATGGGGTTGTGCTGAAGAGCAGTGGACTCTAATCTGGAGAACCGGGTTTGATTCCCCACTCCTCCACATGAAGCCTGGTGGGTGACCTTGGGTCAGTCACAGTTCTCTCAGAACTCTCTCCGTCCCTCCTATCTCACAAGGTGCCTGTTGTGGGCAGACGAAGGGAAGGTGATTGTAAGCCAGTTTGGTGTAGTGGTTAGGAGTGTAGACTCTAACCTGGGAGAACCGGGTTTTATTCCCCATTCCTCCACATGCAGCTGCTGGCGTGACCTTGGGTCAGTCACAAGTTCTCTCAGAGCTGTTCTCTCAAGGGCAGTTCTTGAGAGAGCTCTCTCAGCCCCACCTACCTCCCAGGGTGTCTGTTGTCAGGAGGGGGAAGGGAAAAGGAGTTTGTAAGCCGCTCTGAGACTCCTTCGGGTAGTGAAGGGCGGGGTATAAATCCAGTCTCCTCCTCCTCCTCCTCCTCCTCCGCCGCCGCTTTGGGACTCCTTAAGGTAAAGAAAAGCAGGGTATAAAAACCTACTCTCCTCCTCCTCCTCCTTCCTGGCCAGCAGTGCTGAGACATGCTGCTCCTCTGTTGTTGAGCCTGTTGTGGGATTGAGCCCCTAGCGCTGAAAATGCGAGTGATGACCAAAGGGCTTGCATAACACACACAAAAAAATGAAAGTCAGTGCCAGTCCTTTAAAAATAATTTTCATTTGGTATCAGTGTCCAGATGGGAGCCTGTGCCTCGACTCCCCCAGCCCCGGATCTGGGATACTTACCTCGCAGGGCTCTTTTTTGTAGCAGGAACTCCTTTGCATGTTAGGCGACACGCCCCTAATGTAGCAACAATGAAGTACACACTTGCAGGAAGGTTTTACTTTATTTGAAGCTATAGATGCATGAACAGGAACACTGTTAGGAATGACGGGCAAACTATGCGCATTAAAAGTTATAGTGCATTCGTATAAGCAACATCCAATAACTAAGGTTCCCGCACGCGCCTTGCGGCCTGAGAACCAACTGCTACCGAAAGCAAAACAGGTACGACACGACTCATCCCTACTACAGACAAAGCAATAAGTCAAGCGACTCCTCCTGCGGACTTGAAAGATAGTTGTTGCAGCTGAAGCGGCAATTAAGCGAAGGGGAAAGCATGCGCATGGGAAAGGATACAAAACGAAACTCGGCAGCTTGCTGACACTAATGTAGCCAGTCCTCCAAGAGCTTACAGTAGCCCCTGTAAGAAGAGCTCTGTAAGCTCTTGGAGGATTGGCTACATTAGGGGGGGTGTCGCCTAATATGCGTAGGAGTTCCTGCTACAAGAAGAGCCCTGCGACCTGGTCTGTGGCCACTGGAGAGCAGGAAGGGCTCCGGGGAACAGGCCGGCGGCCGAAGGCAGACCAGAGACTCTGCAGGAGCCAGCCAGCAGAAAGAGTGAAGAGGGGCCCCCGGGCCAGGGAAACAGGTCAGGGCGGGCCAGGCTCCCCTGTAGGGGCTGTTGGGTGAATGGGGGTGAGGATGGATGATTGGCTTCTCAGGAGCAGAGGAGGCGGGAGTAGGAGCAGAGAGGGAAATAAGAGGTGGGCTTCACAGCCAGGCCAGGGAGAAAGGAGGCAGCACAGTGCTGGAGGGGGAGGCAGAGTGCAGTTCCAGGGGGTGGAAGGAGGGGCCTGGCCAACGCTCCCTCTAAGCTGTGGAGTCTCGTGAGCCAAAATTCTGCTTTTTGAGCTCCTGGCATTAAAGCTGTGAGCGAGCGATTTGGCTGCTGCATCTGCTCTGGAGCCCTCCTTCCTGAGCGAAGGCAGATATGTGTGAGCCGGAGGCTAAAAAACTGTGAGCTAGCTCACCACTGTTGTACTCATTTGTACAGGAGTGTCCAGGAGCACCTTAAAGACTAACAGCATTTGTGGCAGGGGGTTAGCTTTCGTGAGTCGCTGCTCACTTCTTCAGTGACTCACGAAAACATCTGGATCTGTCTACAGGGATCAGTTCTCTTGGAGAAAATGGCTACTGTGGAAGGTGTGCTCTGTGGCATTATACCCTGCTGCAGTTTGGTGTTATAAGAACATGAGAGACGCCAATGTTGGATCAGGCCAGAGGCCCATCCAGTCCAACACTCTGTGTCACACAGTGGCCAGAAATACCAGGTGCCCTCAGGAGGTCCACCAGTGGGGCCAGGGCATTAGAAGCCCTTCCACTGTTGACTCCCCCAAGCACCAAGAAGACAGAGCATCCCTTGCCCCAGAGTCCCAGGGTGTAGTGGTTAAGAGCAGGGGACTTTAATCTGGAGAACATGGTTTGATTCCCCACTCCTCCTCCTCATGCAGCCAGCTGGGTGACCTTGGGTCAGTCACAGTTCTCTCAGAGCTGGTTTCTCACAAGCAGCTCTCTCTCTCTCTCTCTCGAGAGCTCTCTCAGCCCCGCCTACCTCACAGGGTGTCTGTTGTGGGGAGGGGAAGGGGAAGGAGCCGCTCTGAGGCTGTGGGGCATAAATCCAATCTCCTCCTCCTCCTCCTCCTCGAATAATAATAATAGGGTTTAGGGAGAGTTTTTCAGAACAGGTCTAATCCCTGTCTCTTTGAGCATGGGTGGCACAACTCCTGCTCTCAAGGAAGCTTTTATCACCCACTTTTATCAGCCCGGAAGGGCAAGGGTCCAGAGCACAGGTGGCAGGTCTCACCTCTCCAAGGATCTTGTCCACATCCTTGGGCTCCACAAGCTGTAAAATGTGAATAGCGAGGGTGTAATTCAAGACTCTTGTAGGGATTCATGAGAGGAGGACTTAGCTGAGATGTGAAGAACAGTCCTTCTGGGCAAAGGAGTCCACCTGAAGCGTCTCCTTTGTCCTGATGGGCTGTTAGTCGACGGAAGTCACACCGAAGAGGGAGTTCTTCATCGTTGGTTTTTAATGGGAGCCGCAAAGCTTCTGATCGCAAAAATATTTCCAAGTCACGAGGGCTAGTTGACAAAGAATAAAATTTTAGAAATATTTTAATCAGCAGTACATTATCTTCCAAAGAATTCTATATATACAGTAAATTTGGACCCCAACAGTCACGTGAGACTGTTGCTATATGAAATTGCTTGGAGGAAGCCTTGAAATCATGGTTGGAGATGTACCGTAGCACTTGAGAAAGCAACAGATAGTAGCCGCCAGTTGTCTCTGTCCTAGCACGCTCCTCGTATTCCTATTTTCGGTGGGCTCCCCACTTGCTTCATCCAGCTCTTCTGAAGAATGGTATTTTCATGTTGCAATGTTACTTTTGTTTTTACAAGTTATTTCTCCAAGGGTTTGGAGTAATGCTGGTATGAACAGTTCCTTCAGGACAGAGAGCCCTCTCCGAAGTCCCTCATGGGCCAGAGGGCTACAGCTAGGGGTGTGCAAGGAAAAAATTTTTTGGCTCGATTTGGATGTTTGGGACCCAAAAATATTTGGTATTCCCAAATTTCCCAGAGTACCCATATTGGTATTGTACTGGTATTCGGGTTAGTATTTGGGAAAGTCGA